TTAGGGAGTGACCACGGTCAAGGCAACCATGAGGAACTACTGAAGCCAGAATGGACTGATCATGGTATTGGGACAGGAGGAAAGCGTAAAGAAATAGAGGAAAGAAGTAGCTTGGGAAATTTAAGTGTTCTTGACACTAAGATTATAGAATCTACTCTAGAGAGCTTTGAGGCATATGAGAGCGTTTCCTTGCTGAATTTCCTGGAAATCAGAGATCTGAACGCAGTGGAAGGGTAAAAGGTGATGGAGAAGAGAGAGTACTGTAATATTTGTTGGCAGCCATTTAGGAGGTATAAAGAAAGAAAACACATAAACTCATCTCAAGTAAAAGGTGGAGGAAGAGGAGGGTGGAGGCCAATACTAACAGAAGAGCGATGGAAATATACTGACCCCGATATGACTTCTCTTCATAGATTTTTCAAGAGAAATTTGGTTTGGGCTCGTGGCTGCAAATGAGATATTTGAAGTAAAAGACTAACAGTCAATAAGAAGAAGAACAACACAGTCAGTAGAGCGGGAAAGAGGAAGAAAAGCAAACCCTTATGCTAGGCACTGCCCTGATGTAGGAGTATAATCATGAAGGTAGAGTCCTAGATGTCACAGGTATTACCGAAACCGCCAGGGACCCTAAATGATAGCAGTCTCACTCTTCTGCTCATGGAGAAGTCACGGAGTGGCATGTGGACGCATGTCTACAGATTGTATCACAGAAGCTGGGCTTTCTAACCTGTAGATAGCATCAAATCTGCTTGTCTTGAGGGACTGGCAGAAGAAGGATGGCTCGAAGGAACAGAGAACAGAAGCTATCCTCGCTCTGAGGATGGAGGACAGGGTATTAACACTGTGAAGGATCATCATGGAGAGTTACTTCTCTAGAAACCTTATGTGGTATGACTTTAGACTATGTGGTAGAGATTTCAGCAAGCCATTCTAATAATTGTAATAATTCATGCAGCATGCCTTTAGTACGAGGGGGCCTCAAAAGGCTCGCAGAAACATGGGATTAAAAGATAACGGGATTTCTCCATGAACTTTTTGAAGTTTTTTTCATATAAGTCTCCTGGGAGAAAAATATTTATGACTGTAAAGGCATAATTTCAACAAGAGCATTAAAAATATGCTCACAACAAAATTAAACTCAATCCAATCTAGTATATAGAAATT